GATCGTACAACTTACAACAAATACACATGCGCAGAATTAAATGAAATTGTATTTGGTATTTTGAACGTTCAGCAAGAAATCTTGCAAAGATAGCGGAAGTTCCATTTACGAATCGCGACGTCTCTAAGTCAATTTTATAATACTTAAATGTTTTATATAACAACGATGACAAGTTGAAACACTATTTCTATTTAAGAAGGAATATTTATAGAATAAATCTGTTAATATAATTGGTCATTCGCGTATTATGTTTAGTTCACAATAAATATAATTCCATTTCTGTGATATTTTTCATCTCATTTTAAATATCCCTGTAAGATGTTTATATGTATCGCATTACCGTTATCGCTTCATGTTGTCAACTTATTGTCATAGCCGATAACGGTAATACGATATTTAATTCATTATGGTTTCATAGTGCTGATTCAATAGTCTGTTAACAATTCATGTAATACTTACTGATTGAGTTTTTAAAAAATAATGTTGCAGTTTTTACAGTAAGTAAGATTTATTTTTAGAACAGGCACAACGTTTCGATCAATGGTGTGATCATGCTCAAAAGTACACAAGTTTTAAAAGTAAATAACGTTTTAGTATTTAGATCAAAATTCAACAATCTAACAGTTTATTTAACTTCTAGAATCGATAACGGTTACTTATCCATGTACATATCAATCCGCGTGAATTTTACAGATTATTTATGTATGGTGAAACAAAAAAGTGGATAAATAAATAAATATATAGAATATGTTATGCAAATTTTTTGCATAACATTAGGAATGTGTGGGAAAATCAAAGCTACACATAATGACGTTATTATATAAACTATGTTAAGTGTTTAGCTTTGATGTCGTAAATTTATTCCCTGAAACCCCTTGATATAAGGCAATACAACTTAGCGTAGAAATTATTCCCAAGACCCCAAAAATATAAACAATATAAAACAGGAACACCTAATCGAACTTTTACAACTAGCCACATTTATTTGCCTTCAATACAGATTCGTACTTGTCATGAGAAATCCATATGTAGATGACGTTTTTTTGCGCATAAACAATTCACAGTGGAAAATAAAAATAACTACACGATAAAAAAAATTAAACTTTTTATTCAACCATAGATAAATAATCTGCAATATTCACTCGGATTGATATGTACATAGGTAAGTAACCACCAGGAACTCTAGAATTTAAATAAGTTAGATTTTTAAATTTTGATTTAAATACCTAAACATTCTTTACTGTTAAAACTTGTTTACTTGGAATAATCACAGCAGTGATCGAAACGTCGTCGTGCTTGTTCTAAAAATATACATTACTGTAAAAGTATCGCGTTTCATAGATCCTAAAGTAGCGAGGTCTAATAAGTACGGCGATGAACTGTATACTAATATTTTGACGTTTTTCGTTATCTTAAGAGATGTTAAGACTTGTATATCCCTGCCATTTTGACATCAAGTTCATTGGGATTAATTTATTACTAAACTTACATTATCTAAATGAATGATGAATTTTATAATGAACCTTATTTTATTTCACACACTTTGTATATTAATTACTCTTAAGGCAAATGTAGAACCCTATTACTGAAAGAGAGTTTTATGTAAACATTTTATTAAAATATGAAATATCGACTAAAGTACTATTCTCAAACGGTCAGTATCTGTTCAGGCCAAGTTCTATCACGTAGCCTAAGAATATGATTATACAGTTTGTTTTGGTTTGAAGTAAATCGTGTACGTTATCAAAAACAACTTTTAAAAAGTTTTCCAAAATGAGTTATATTACATCCTAATATTATATTAACTGATTTGAAAACCGTAGTTTGTGTGTTAATTCCAAAGTCAGCCAACATTTGACAATAACACAGGCTTTGGTGAGAACTTTTACAAAGAAATCTAAAAGTTATTCACTCTTGTGGTAAACAATGATATTGGTTTAGAAGACAACTCTAACTACAAAAGTTTTCGTAAAAGTAAAAAAAAATTGTTATTAAACATCCCTTTATAAAATTTACAAACAGTTACTATGCTAAAAAAGACGAAAAAAAATATATATAAATACACAAGAGGTTACTACATTTCAACAAACATACCTACTTCCTTCTTAACAGATTACACACTTTTTGGAGTAAGGAATTCTATCTTCAAGACTCTTCTGAAACTACCTAACGTTACTATTACAACTTTCACGAGACTTGATGCAAATCCCTAATGCTACAGCCTAGTCTTTTGACTTCGCTAACACAGCGTATAAACACACTGTTAATGACCAGTTTTTATAACATCGGGATGATAAGCACAGTTGTGTATTCTAGTAATGTTGTCATGGTTTTGCTTCTTATCCCTTAGATACGTAAACAGAGAAAACTCTTAATAAAAACACGGGTACCTTGCTGAAATTAAACGCTTAGATCCCTATATATGAAGGCTGAATTAATTCAAACAGAACTTCATTCACAACACAACATATAACTGTGTATAATGACAAAGGATGATGGGAACTCAATGAATTTTCAATAAGTAACAAGAACTAGATTTGGAACATATATAACTGAAGAAATCATTGAAACTAATAATTTATCTACTGTGTTTTAAAACAATTAAGTATTAAAAATATGTTCATAAATGTGTAAAGAAAGAGAGACTAAATTAGTGATAAAATATCAAAATTCAAGCTCCTCCCATGCCAAGATGGCACACATGATCTTATGCCGACTTTGGCTTAATTGGCACAAGTGGATGAGAATGGTGACACATTTCCCCCTGGAGGGGTGCCTATCTATAGCAGGTTAACCCCCAGCTGAAAGCTAGTATCCATCACGCAGCTGGGTAGACAGAAACAATTGGGGGTAAAGTGTCTTGCTCAAGAACACGTCATGACACATACAAGCCTTGAATTTGTGACCATCTGACTAGGGTCCAAAGCCACTTAAGCCACACTAGGAAACATAAAATGAAAAATGTATAAGCCCATTTATGTAAAAAGTGAAATTATATATATATAAAAAGTCAATTATACAACAAAAGTCATTATACTCAATTACATTTCTTAAGTATTTACCAATTGTAAGAGGTCACATCTATCTGATATTTAAATGATCATTATTTGCATTTAACTAACATAAATTGACAAACTTTACTTCTTAATGACCTCAAATAATCATCTTAAAGTAAAATCATCCACTTCTACATGTACAAAAACAAACGTAAAAGCTAAATAACAGAGTACAAGTGGGCATAAAGTTATAAAACAACTACACTAACATGAGTTAAGGGGCTCTTGTTTTATTATACAATTTTTTACCATTTCTGATTCATCACACCAACATTTTTTTTTTTTTTACAAAAGGGAAGTATTTCATACATCTTAACAGTAACAGTTTTATCAGTAACAAACAAAAAGCTACTATATATGAGATTTCCACCCACCAATCATCCACAATATTAAATTGTGTTTTTCAATTAAACTTATCAGTTTCATCTTATTGTTGAGCTAATTTTAAACCAACATTAATCTTTAAAAATTCTCTGTAAACTTCCATATAATGTTTTGTACTTTTAATTAAAGAAAAACACTGATTAATTTCTTATGTGGAAATTTGAAATTATAAAGAAAAATTAAGCAAACTTAATATGTCATATGGCATCAAATTTTATCCCAAAATAACCTGATGCTCCATTTTTAGCAGAACCTAAAATTTTCAAAACACAGTTTTGCCTCACTTTGTATTCATTGATGGAAAATGGTCAGCAAACTTCAATACGACTTTTTTACATTTTTTTGGTGAATTTGTTTTTACCTAGTAATTAAGTTTAACTATCTTTTCAAGGGTTTGAGCAAACTTTACTAGAAAAGTTGAATTAGAAACAGTTTTGGGAGGGCGAAAAAACCTCGGTGAAATATACTTGCACCTGTTTAACCTGTAATGATGCACATACATATAAAGCATTCCTTACAGTCAAAATAAATAATCACAGACATCTAACAGAAAGAAGTAAATAATATACGGCTACAAAAACAAAGTATATACACACACGCACACACACATCTAAAAAAATATTTTGCTCATATAGAATTGTTTATTTGGTATTAAAAGTGTAAAACTTCAGCACCTGATTAAGTCTTTGTATAAAAAGTCTCCCTCAATTTGACATTTTCAAGGTTTAACTTTGAATTAGAAAACAAATTGATATATATATATATTGATATATTTTTTTATGTTAGGTTAATTTTTATATACTTCTAAATGCACAGCATCAATTATCACACATGTAGAACAGATATGTTTTAAATATCATAGTTACAATTATGTTTCTGTAATTTTGAAAAGTTATATATTTAAACTTCAACTAAGCAACAGAATTTATTTATCATTACCCAGCTAGATTTTAACTTAATGTGTGAAAGATAGGTGTATGTAAAATGTAACCTGCGCAGATTACTTATAACATTATTTTTACAACTCAAATAATAACGGTTACTGCATCATGCCTTTATATCAGCCAAACATAACTTAGCTTGATAATAAAGTTTGGAGACAGCTTGAATGGATAATGAAAGAAACCTTACTATAAATGTACATTTCTACAAGAGTATGTTGAAATATTGTATATTTTTAATAAATTTTCTTTCATTACCCATTAAGGCCATCTCCAGATCTTATTTTCTAAAAAAGTGGGTTCCTCATCATCAAGTTCAAATAACTTAGCTTGGTTTATCATAGTTATCCTTTTCATGCCTTATAGTTCTATAAAATGAATGGCGTGTTTAACGAGTAGTGATGTTCGTGATAACACATACAGATGCAGCGGTATTCAAAACAATGCAAAACTGTTAACCTACAGCTAAGCCTACATTCCTCCATCAGTAAAGACCATATAAACTGGCAGGATACCCTAAGTACACAGCAGAACCAAAACAAAAACCAGTTTTGCAAACAGTCTCTGAGCATTTAAAAAAAGACCACATTCCCGTGGACATGAATATAACAAGAAGCGATGATGTGAAAGCTACCTTTATTCAACAGATCTAAACGGCAAAAACTGACAAACCGCACGACAGATGGAAAACTTTGCAGCTATCACAGTATCCTGCATAGTTAGTCTGCTATGAACATCAGGTGTTTTGAGTTTCTCTTGGATGCTAATTTTGCATCAAAGGCAGCGGTTATAACAATAAATGATATATATATATATATTGTTAGTAAAATCACTGGAAAGTAAACATCAATGGAAAAAAGAATTGATTAGTATGACCTTGAGAAAATATCTTCAGGTCTAATGAAAAAAAAATTAATTCCTTACATCCTGTTTTCCTATTGCTCAATATACACAAGTCCAGTTATAAAACAATTTTTACTTTTTTATAAATGTCACATACCAACTATTGCTACGACCTTCAAAGTACAAGAAATACATTTTATTTTTTTGTAACATTATGCTAATTTGGGGAGAACTTGAAGTTTTCCACTGTTAACTTGAAATACTTAAATTAATACAAGAAATATTAATGCATTAAAAAAAATGGAAATGTAAACCTAGATCTAATAACGTTAGGCTTCATACTTCATTATTAATAACAAAAGTTTTTGAACAGACAGCAGCCATCTACAACAGGCAGTTGCCATCCATTTAAACAAATTTCATCACAAATACTCTGCTTAAACAATATATCAAAGAAAGTTCTTAAATATTTACAAGCAGCATTAAATACACTGGTATTTTGGTATATTAATAACATGTCGGTATTTACATTTATGAGTTATTAACGGTGTATGCACATTTACTTTTTTGAAGTTATTCTTCCTGTAATACAATAACTACATTTCCATCAATGTAGTTTTAAGTCTATGAAGTACAGTAGTCTTCAAACATTTTACATATTTACAGCTGTTGAAGCATGGACATTTTTTTTTTTTTTTAAAAGAGTACACAAGCCTTCTCCTTCTGAAAAAATTGAAGGATATAGGTAACAGTACTAATTTCAGGTAGTAAAGTTGTAGCACCAGTTTTATGTAACATTCTTTAAGACGTATATATTTGTGCAAATCAAACAAGTCTAGTAAATCACAATTCAACAATCTCAACCTGCAGGTCTTCCAGAACTTCTCCGAGTTTCCTTTCTATTTGCACTGTTGAGGTAAACACCACCTGGTAGATGGAAACCACATTCTTAAAATCCATATCTCAAAGAAACATAACAGTACCCGAGTCTGCAGAGGCAAATCATTTAGCCATTCTGGTTTACGAACAGGGCCACATGTCTACTTCATCAAGACCAAACACTTTTTGATCAGCTTTGTAAACGTTCACATTCTTGGAAGTGTTTCATTGTCCAGTACATCTTCTGAAAATATAAAAAAACTACACAGATAAAAATCTTAAGATAGATTTAGTTCTAAAGGGACCTACATCATGTACATCATATTAGTCACATACAAAAGGATTAAGCACCACCTGAACATCATTCACTACTCATTATTATTCTAATATTTTCTTGTTATAGAAAAGTTCGTCTCTTGTTTTCTGTAGCACCACAATATACCTTCACATGCACATAAAATTAACTTAAGGGTTACAAAGACACTCATTAGAAATATGTAAGCAATATTTTATGACAATGGACAAATGAGCATTTGGTTTTCAATAGCCACTGTTAGACAGAGCCATCTGTTAGAGAAAAAAAATCAGTCCAATTCAGTCAGAATATTGTGGAATTGTTGAAACAAATGCTTCTATTGTAATGTCTATTGGAAAGCTTATTTTCTTGTTTCAACCGAAAGGGTTTCTACAGAATTAAGCTCATCAGAATTTGCTGAAAGAGTTTTTGATATATAACCAGAAGTAATCTTATGATGAAACAGTTCTAGTTCCATGATTATTGTGGTCATCTAGTCACCTAAACCACAATATCCTATAAAGATTTTATTAAAGCATATTTCAAGGCACTACAGTCACCAATTATAAAAACAGTGAAAAACTGTGCAACTTGTATCACAGAACCTGCATAAGTGTGTGACATTTATAAGTCCCAGTGTTCCTTGGAGTTTCAGCAAGCAATAAACCAAATTGAAACCAATTTTGAGCTTTAAAGCATCTCACAACAAAATTAATCAAACTTTCACAAAAAAGTATAATTTCTTAATAATGCTTTTCATTTAGGAGTCAAATTGAACAGTAGAAACATAAAAAAAAACAGTACAGAAAGAAACTCTCAAAGAGAAGCATTACTACCCACATAGAGATGGGCGATTCTTTGATTTTGCTAATCAATTAATCGTCCAGCTCATTAACTGATCGCAGTCAATTATTTTAATGAGATGGCTAACAAAAACAATCAAATTATTCTCACTTGAGTTGATTAAAAAAACCTTATACAGCTACTAATTGTATAGTCCGTTTTGTAGCTTTGGGCTTAGCAACAAAGAAACATAATAGCAATATTTCAGTTACTTGGATAGTTGAAAATAGCAGTTATCGGAAACCCTAACCTTGATTAGTTGTTATTTTTGTCAGCTGTGACTCTAATCATGGTGAACAAGCTTTAATTAATTGAATAAAATAATAATGAGAAATCATAATGGAAATATTTCAATTACTGAATAGTTGGAACAATCAAAATCAGTAATAATCAGAAACATTTACAGATTAATTATTTATGCGACATTAATAAGTTCAATCACAGTTTTGATTAGTCAGTTGTCGAAAAAATTGAAAATGCAAGTTCATTATTTACGTAACATAATTAACGGGATATCAATTAACTGATTATTTTACACGACAATAATAAATAAACGTAACCGATGCTCATGTGTAATTGAGTACGTCAATTAATCAACAAGCTCTATACTAAGCCACTTTTTGGCTTTTCATAAGTGATACACCATGATTTATATGTACCAATAAAACAAAATTATTGAGGATTTTTAGGGTTAATGATGAGCAGAAAAAAACATTTTTCACAAAAGCCTAGATATTTTTTACAATAACTTGGTTTTATTTATTTTTTAATGTAGATTTGGCCATGAAGAGTGTATAATATAAATTGTAATGCATATAACTAAATAAGAATCAAGGAATTTATTTTATTTTATTACATGTCTTTAGCAAATAACTATTTATTTGACATAATAATACTAATACAATAGAAAAAATACTCACGGCACAAGCTTCTCCGCAATACGAGACTTTGGAACAGGCTGAACAAACGTTTTTAGCTTGTTTCCCACACAACATACACTGGAAAACAAATAGTCAACATTTCTACAATAACAGAACAATTATATGTTGGCAATATATATATAAAATACAGAGAAGCTTTCAAAATTTGTAGTTCATTACTGGAGGGATTTATACAGATTGATAAAAAGTTTAGAGAAAAACGACCTTTATATTCCAGATAATTATAAAAGAAGGTTTTATTTTAACCAGCATTTTGCCTTTGCAGCTTCATCGGCGTCAGTACATACAATTGATGAAGCCGTAAAGGCGAAATGCCTTAAGCTTAGAGCTTTGGAGGTGAGAAATACACTAGTGTTTACACAAATGTTTTATAATGCATGCCACAAACCTTCTGTACCCCCCATTGGAATCAAAGATTCTAACATATCTCTCATGTAAATCATCATGCATCATCTCTCCACCAATAGGAGAGCACATGATGCATGTGACTCCCTCTATGCACCACTACCGAACCATCACTTCAAAGTTTGGCAGGAGACGTAAGCACCAGTAGATTGTGGGTAGGAGGGTGGGAAATGTGGAACAGCTAATCTTGTGAAGGGAGGGAAGTATGTATCGGAAATACATTTTCAGTATAGGAAAATTATAACTTCCCTCCTCTCACAAGATTAGCTAGAATCCTACACTGAAAAGGAGAGACCAGTGTGAGGGAAAAACAGACATAATCTTCACCCCCAAAAGCATCTGAAGGATACTTCTGTAGATGAGAGAAACAGATCAGATGATCTGAGAAGGGGCACAGCACCACTTCTAAACCAGGTATCTCCTTGCCATGAACTGCTAGGAACAAACATGGCAGATAAGGAAGGGAGCATTTACAAGTGGGAGAGGATGAGTCAGGAAAGTGATTGCAACTGAATAAATATAGAAACTCAATCCCACAGAAGTGGGTAATAGAGGATGTGTCCCATAGTGTAGAATGGCTAGAGCACAGCAGACCATATTTGGTAAGTCAACTACATCTAAAGCCTCCTCGTGGGTACTGACATCCATGAGATGGTAGGATGAGGATCATAATACCGGCTTCACCTGAAGACACAAAATCATGGATGTTAGGAAAACACCGACTCCAGGGAACGACACAGGATTAGCATTGAGCCAAGGATCCGGGAATGTGTCATCTGGTATACGAGGGAAGTCCATCAAATCCCACAACCATGAGACTGGTCCGAAATGTCCAAAGGTCAATAACATCCCCATCGCAAGAGAGAGTGCGGGAGAAGGAGTACCCTCTGTGACTCACTACAGAGAAGAAAGAATAGAGGGAAGAAGATGGACTACCCCAAATTTGTGTGAGGAATTAAGTTGACTGGTTCACTCGATATCCAAAACCATCCCACAAGGTACCAACATCAACGCGAGAATGAGATGAGGGCAACCAATTGAAGGAGTGAACTACATTTAGACGTCTCACTCTGTGGTACATGTCACTCAATCCAATGGATGTCTGGATCTAACGTCTTCTACACCAGCAAATCACCACCCTAATCTAAACCGAATGGTTATAGCTATCTACGTGAAACCCATCCAGCAGAATACCTCCATGGTTATCTACCCCAGCAGCTTGGAACTGGCAAGTGGTAAGGACTCCCATATTCCACTGGAAGAAAGGAAAGGAAAGAGCATTGAAGAGTCCAGAGGAATGGCTACATCCGAACAGTGCAATGGATGATCACGAAACCCTATTATAAAAAGCAGACCATACCGAGTTAGTCAATGTAGACATGGCAGGGGTGGCCAGCTATCCCCTTCTGCTTTACCTATGCCATCCATAGGTAGTATGGTCCTGGATGGGCCTATTTGTGAAGAAAATATCATGAGGTTGTTGACCATCCAGTGATCTTGTGAAACACCTCATTTCGAAGGTAAGCGTGCAGTGCCATGGAAATAGCATGTGAATCAACATGACGTACAGTGTGGATTTGTTTGTGTATGTAAAGAATACTTGGTCATGCACCACTCGCCACAGAGTGGGATCCAAGGGCCCCTGAAAGAAATTAAAGCATTAATAAAGACTTACCTAGTGTCATAGATGCACGAAAGTCTGAAGTATAGCTACAGGTGGTAGGCAATACCCTGAGGAACCAGAAGCCATGACATGATGTAGGTAATGGGAAATGTACGTCTGAGGGGTGGTCCACATGCCTGACTGCAGAATCTCCACCAAAGGCTGATGAAGATAAGAAGAAAAGGTGAAATATTGTATTTGATGGGAGGGTAACATGGTACAAATCACGTTGGGAAGGGGACAAAGGAATAAGCCAACTGGATTAAATGGGATAAAGTGATGGGAATGAGAACCCTGAAGGAACCCATGTGGGCAATACAACAATGAAAGGAATGCACCAGACACAAAGTATATCTGGATTTGGACAAAGGTAGAGATGAGAATTAGAGAGAAGGGAATTGGACAAAAAGGAGGAGTAACACTCGCGAGCCACCGATGTCTTAGGAAGGAAGAAATGATCTGGATAAAGTTAAAGATAGGTTTGGTGGTACAGTGTGTGAGTGACATTCATAGTGAACAGATCCAACTGATGCCACCTGTAGGCCAAGAGGAAAAAGAAATACACCTTAAGGGACAGGTGAAAGAAAGAGCACAATGCAATGGGCTCAAATGGAGGTAAAGTAAGGGAATGAAGTACCATGTTAATCCTGGCTGAAGGAATCTTTAGTCAAAGCCGGAGGATAGGGAACCAGGGACCAAAACAAAGGTGATTGAGGTTGGTAGCAAATGCATCAATATGAGAAATACCCCACCAATTGCAAAGCCACTGAAAAACAAGGGGATGAAGGGACCCGCTCCTTTGGGTAAACCCAGTCAGGTTGGGAAAAATGATCCGCCACTAGGTTGAAAGCACCCAGTATGTGGCATGCCATCAAACAAATGTGATGATCATGGGTTCAAAAGAGAAAATCCAATGTTAGAAAACATGGATCTTGACTGGGTATCAACTTGGTGCTTGATATGAGCCACCACTGTTGAATTGTCAGAATAGATCATGACCAGATGATCTCTGGAGATGGGAAGAAAGTGACCCAAAGACAGATGAACAGCAAGGATGTTGATATGAAGAGAATGTTCCATGACATACTAATGACCCAAAGCCTCCTGGTGATCAACCCATGCACCCCAGCCCAAAAGGGATGCATCTGTGAACAGATGTAAATCTGGCTGCAGAGGAGGAAGTGGGAAACCCATCAATGTATGAGTCTTGCCTAACCACCATTGGAGATCATCCACAATGTAGAAAGAAAGGGTTATAGGAGCATCCAAGGGATCCTGAGCAAGGTTGCATTGGTCATGGAGGACTGAATCCCATTGAAGGGATCACATATGAGCCTGGCCAAGGGGTATGAGAGGAGTTGTAAAAGACCACATCCCCAAAACTGGTAGAACCTCGTGAGCAAACAGGGAATTCCAAAAGACCAGTTCCATAAAATATAGCCAGAGAGAAGAATGTTGGGCCTGACTGAGATGACCATTGAAGAAAACATCCAGATGACTGAGGTACTGGGTAGGATGAAGGAAGGACTTCTCCAATTTGATCAACTAGCCCATCCAAGCAGCTTTGAAAAGGAGCTGTCAAGTATGATAGGCCAACTGCTGTTCAGAATGAGCAATAAGACATGTAAAAGTGAAAGCACAACCACAGTGTATGAAGATGTAGGGGAAAGGTTCGCACCACCCAATAGAAAACATATGGCACCGAAGCCAGCGTGAAGGAAACAGCGCAAAATTGGTACACAACCCCACAATGGACAAATTGAAGATAGGACGAAAGTGCTTCAATATGGAAATATGCAGATAAGCATTGGAGACAGCCATCTTGGTCATCCAAAGACTTAGATGGGACAGATCAATGAGCAGCCTCCAGTCCCATCTTTTGGGGAACTAATTATAGGTGGGAGTAAGATCCCTGAACCATGGGGGAGCAGGTTCGAGTATGTTGTGCAAGGTCTTGCACTGCCTCGGACAGATGCTGGCATGACAAGGGATTCCAAGGAGGAAAGGAAACAGGTATGCAGGACAAGGGAGGAAGGGTAAGAAAAGGTATGACGAATCCCTCTGAGAAAACTCTGTGAACCCAAACATCAGAAATGAAAGGACTCCACCGATGAACGAAGGTCACCAGACGAGCTACCACTGGATCTGAACCCACCAGGTAGTCATCAGAACTGTTGTTGGCATACCATGCATCATCATGACAAATAACAAACAGTGGCACCAAGGGAAGGAGGAATAGGCAAGGGCTGGGAAGGGAAGGGTCAAAAAACAGGAATCTGTGCCATGCTTGGCTCCAACTGGAACAAATGGGCCATCAGATGAGAAAGGGTGAATTATTGTTGGACCAAAGCTACCCTTGACTCCAAAGACTTCAGAATCAGGTCAAACATGAAATGTCTCAAAAAAGGGACCATATGAAGGTACTGTAGATAAGGAGCCTGGTTCGTGACAATATGGCATCATGATCTAAAAGGTCCCAAACACAAATAAACCACATTTCCAGGGCCGGCAACAAAGATGCCAGGCAAGCCAATGTGGAAGTGAAGAGAGAGAAGACATCCCCAGAAAAACCCTTCAGGGTTCCTGTGAGGAGCCTTAGACAGAAGATGGATTGAAGAGAGGTACCACAAAAGAGTCATCAGGGTAAGACAGAGGTGGGAATACTGGGCATTGGTAAGATGAATAGGAAATTTAGGTCCCACCCCACACACATGCAAAACTAAACCCAACAATTGTTGGTCCAAATATGGACAGACTGCCCTATGATAAACGAGGTCGGACTGATCCAAAGCCCATGGGGTATGAAGCATACTAATGCTGTCACCTAACTGGGAGGCAAAATGCTCTGTTTGAACTCAAATATCAGGGGATGAGGAAAACTAAATAAGGTTGGGAGGCAAAATCATGTAATAGAGAAGGACATGGGTCATAAGAAATAGGAGCAACAGACAAAACATCACATACCTGAGAAATAAAATCTGAATAAGCC